ATAATTTTACCATGAACCAAATTTATGTAATTTAAATAATACTTATCCATGCCTGTACAATTGGTGTGTCCTACACAGGTAGGAAAAAATGTATTTTAATAAATTACTATTATTAGATATGCTTACTAATCATATATGTAATTTATCCCATTGATGATGCCTTTAAACTGGCGTCCCTCATGAAAAAATGAGAATATACTATTATTATTATATCATTCCTTAACAATAGGTCCCAAATAGTTAAACTCGGATCTATAACTTCGAAACCTAGCCCAATCACCTCTGGTGTAGTGTCACTGGACCCCTTCTATTTACTCTATACATTAACGACATATGCGCTTGCTTCTCTCACGGGAAACCATTCATCTTTGCAGATGACCTCAAAGTAGCTTATACATTCCAATCTGATGGCCTAGGGTACTTCCAGAATGTTGTACAAAAAGAACTAGATAAAGTGACTGCTTGGTCGTCTTTATGGAACCTCCAATTTAACCTTAAAAATGTGGCTGGATCTGCTTCGGTGCACCCGCAATCGACATGAAGTTAACGCTTAAATCTACTAACCTAACCAAACTCCAAAGTGTCGTTGACCTAGGTCTGAGGTACTCGAGTAACCTAACATTTTCTGAGCAAGTGGCATCACAGACTCAAAAGTCGAGGATGCTCTTAGGATGCATACTCAGGAACGTTCACGACAGTGAAGCAAAGCTCATTCTGTACAAAACCTGTGTGAGGCCACTACTAGAATACTGTCCATTTATTATTAGCAGCACTCACACACGTGAAAAGCTAAGAATAGAAAGTATTCAACGATATTTTACCTCGAAACTACTTGGCTACGAATGTAAGAAAGACTACATCTCACGGTGCATGATTCTACAACTTGACCCACTCTGGACAAGACGACTAATTATAAACCTAGTATTCTTCTATAAGGTCCTACACAAAATATCATTCTCGGACATCAAGGACATACAATTCGCACAAGAAGGCTCTTACGATCTGCGTAACCAAAATTGCACAGTGACAATAAATGCCTTTAAGTCAACATTCCGCGAAAACTCCTTCACAGTCATGTATTCTAAAGTATGGAACAATCTGCCCCTAGAAGTCAGGAACTGCAATACGGTTATAAGTTTCAAACGCTCTCTGTACACACTATTTCACTCTACCGACTATATAATATAAATAAACTATTTATTCCTAGAACGAATCAACTATTAGTCTACTACAGTACCTAAACGCGCTTAAATACCCTTACTTCTCTAAAGACTATAAGTAAACTAGTAGCATAAATGCATAAAAAGACATAGTAGAAACAAATCTTTGTTCATCAAATTACAATGTACAACGAATATAAACAAATATTTTCGACTCCACATACTTTTCCTTTGTCCTCTGGTACATTTCTGTTGTATTTACTTTGTAGTACAAGTTGCATTGATCTACATTCTGACTGAAGCTGAGAAACAATTGAAGTCACTTACTCATATATCATCCCTCAAGGTTTGGCTAGTAATGGCTCAGCATCCTTGATGAAATCCACTGTCACCATAACAAGACGCTGTACAGCATCTTATACAAGCACTGTCAACGATCTAAAATGGTTTTTATATAGCTTTCTACGTGTTTATCAACCATGCTGTGACAAATGGCGGGCTATGGGTGACTTGAGTGCAGTAAAACAAATCTGCTTGACAATGACCAATATTAATCTGCATTCAGTTGAATTCACATCTGGTGTTACTTGCAATAAAAATGATGTCAAAATCATAAAAATAAATCACTCATTTTAAATTAATACCCACTTTGAACATAAAACAAGATAGGATGCCGCACACAACAAAGTTATATGGAGGAATTGACTTCAAGCTTTATTTTTTCCCAAATATTTGTAATTTATCCGACACATACTTGGGTTTTTTTGTTAATGCGAAGACAATATTTCTATATTTCTTTATGTGCTCCATTGAACGACTAACTATCAGAATGTGCTCACTAACTGATGTCAGAGAGGACAGCAACCATACAATTTCACTATAAATCAAATTCATGTAATTTAAACAATACTTATCCATGCCTGTACAACTGGTGTGTCCTACATTGATAGGAAAATATATATTATTATTATAAATGTCTTCTTTATATTCACCGGTTCCTTAGGTTTTACCTTAGAATGTAAAATGCCGGCGAATTTACCCGTGGTTTGATTGACACTGTCTTTCACCAGCCTCTCAATTTCATCGAATCCAGACTCCAAACCATCTTCCTCTAGCCGGGAGCTAACCTTTATGGACTTTCTTTGCAGACGATCCGGTAATCTCTTGGCGACAGTCTCAAGCACGGAACTCGAATTCAATTCATCCGCGCAATTAAGAGACACAAGAGTATTTCTATATACCATTAAGCTGTCCAAGAACTCTGCGGGTTCCTCTGAGTTATCGTTTAACTGTGATCCATTACCTTTCACGGTCTCGAAAATACTACGGGATATCATAAATGGTTTCCCAAACCTTTGACGTAGTATCTTCATTGCCTCAGCATATCCTTCGTTCGGAGGCATAAACTTACAGCACTGTATGGCTCTTGCAGCCACACCAGTGCAAAATTTCAACAAATACATTAACTTCATTTCATCATTTAATACAAAACCACTTAGCATGACCTCAAACTCTTTGATAAACTGTGGGTAGTCGGCTGGATTTCCATCGGAGTATCGCGGTTCAAACTTAGGTAATCTTAAGCGCTTACTATCACTAAACGGTGAAGCGTGAACATCAAACTCAACATGCTGAGCATCATACATATCATTACAGTTAACAGGCAAGTCATCGTTACTTACTTTTTTGTCTGCTTTCACGGTGCAACGTCCCTTCCTTGGCCCAGGCATTATCCAACGTCACCAAAGAATCCAAATTGCGTTGATAATCCGTGTCCAAAGAGAAGCTGGCTGCAGATCTAGTAAGTACATCCGGAAGAGTTCCAGAAGACGCTCCAGAAGACGAACAGACGAATAAAAACTGTCAAGGAACTTAGCCCTAAGTTCCTATTGTAACGAAGACGCTTTGAACCGATAAAGACTATGTACTTGTCCAAACTTTAAATCCAAAACACCAGTATTCTTTGAACGAATTTATATTGTTTGGCAATTAAAGCAAGACAAAATACAAAGTTTTTATTCGTGTTCTTTCTTCCGACTTCCAACTTGCACACGATCGTACCATTCGCGCCTTCGAGTTGCCCACCAATGGCTGCCAGTTCCAATAAACAAACGTTCAATGTTCACGTCTATTGACAATAGGTTTGCGTAAACCTACGTTCAGATAGACGTATTTCCTACCAAAGGTTGCAATTGGCTTTCCATTTGCAGCCTGTAAGTTGAAGGTAGGTTCCTTCTGTCGATCTGCTGCTGTAGCAGGAAGGACGCTGACTTCGGCGCCGGTGTCGACCAAATATCGAATCTGGCTGATCACATCGTGGATGTAAAGTAAGCGGCTAGTGCCACTGGCGACGGTTGCCGCTAACGCGTACCGGCGAGATAGTTTCCCACAGATTTCGAGACGTTGCCGAAGCTACAAGGTTTACGACAACATTTCGCTTCCCGGCCATAGGTGTTGTGATACCAGCACCAGTCAGGATTTTTCAGTGAACGTGACTTGGACTTAGATCGACCACGTGCGTTTTGCCATTGAGGGGATTTAGGACGACGGTAGGAGGAATTACTGGGCATGTTTGACCTAAGCATCTGCTGGATGGAGTTGTATAACCCTATCACTGCAGCATCCTTCCTGGAAGTCTGTTTGGCCACCGAGCATATTTCAAGAACTGATCGTTTATGTATTTCTAGAATTTTATCTGCAGAAACAGCTAAGTTGTCTATGATAACACCCTGAAGTGTCACAAACACAGTCTGTACTGACTGTGGCAGTCCTCTGAAAAGCCTCTCATCGAACTGACTTTGACCAATAACCTCACTCATTCTTGTCAGCATGCTCGCGGCTGACTAATCCCCTAACTCGATGTTGCGAAATAATTCTCCCAGACGCTGTCGATCCGTGAGAACTTTTCTCCTGATGAGGGATGCTTTGAGAAACTCGTACGAGTTGCTTACCTCTGGACTCGACATCTGCACAGTTACGCACTTGCTGAATTCCCGCGGTAGGGCGTGAATAACAGCGATGAACTGTGAACGTTGATCGGTTATCCCATGCTCGCAAAAATCAGACTCAGCAATCTGAAACCACGTTTCAGCATTATCTGACCAATATGGTACGAGCTGAATTGTTTTGGCAGTTGAGCGAATACGAATAACCTTGGGACTAGGATCACTCATGATGAAATGTATGCCGATTACAATATAGTACAAGAAAAAGCACAAAAAGGAACGAACTCACCTGGTTTATCTGCGTATTTATTGAAGATGAAGTTCGCGGTTGAGCTCACCAGTTTGGAGGCTGACGGTATCGACGTTCGCGAATTGTACGGTGTATACTGACGCAAGATCTTATACCAACAATTTAAATAGTATTCGTTTCTCGTGGACCAAAGGCAAAGCAAAAGACCAGACTGAGTCGTCCAAAGTACGAGATGTATTTCGGAACCAAAACGGATTGCGAGTTGAATGCCTAACTAGCTAGTGATCGTGCACGCACGTGACACGACGGAGTACCAAATGGCATGGATGCTTGACCAGAAGCCTTCAGCTAAACAAGTCAACTTAAACAGTGAGGGCCAGCATCCGATGTTCAGTGATAATTGCTGTGGTCAATAATTTTGGGGAATTATTTACCGCTACAGATACAACACGGTTAGTAGTGATGCAAGTAGATAGTTTGGATCAGTGAGAAAACAGAGCGAAAAGTGGCACGTTGTACTTTAAATTTCACTCTGAAGTTACGTTTGTTCTACGGTTAATCGTCTTAAATAAAAGTAATGTCAATGTTTCCATTTTAAATATCTGACAAAAAACTGTACAACCATATTGTTCCAGACTCCACAATTTTCAGCAAAGACGCGTGTATTGTTGGTTGACTTATTTAACGACATTATGGAAGAAGATTATTCCACATATCATTCTTACAAATCTTAATACGATTGACCCCTTAGGCATCAGTTGCATGGTGTAAATTCAGTTAGTTGTTTGTATGATTAGCCGGCGTACGTAGGCGCTCTTAATGTTTTCTGCTTTTTGAGTGTTCGAAGTTTTGGTGGTTTTGTTGGGACTGTAGACCGAGTGGAATTATAAACTCACGATTTGCAATTTCGGAAAATATATCGGCTAATGTGACTTCTGCTTTGGAAGTGATTGCTTCATAACTTCCCCGGCAGTCACATATTACTGAGGTAACTTAAATGATATGAGCTTGGAAATTTTACTATGATTGGTGGACAACTCTAATTTTTAAATTCCTAATTTCGATTACTTGGTTATTTGTCTGCGTTATTTTTCTACAGAATTCTGCCACTGTATCTCCAAAAGGCGTTATGTTTCGATAGAATTCTATCTATTCCTCTCTAAATTCGATGCGAATAGAGTAGGGCTAGTGCATGGAGGTACTACTATGGTACTTGAATCGCCACTTAGTTCTGTTTTTAAAAATTGCACAGACTACATTAATTTCAGATTCTCCTGTAGTTTATATTACTGCGGTTAAGCAGCAGGATCGGGTTAAGGTGAAATGTTTCTCCCTAGTCATTATAGGGATGACAGGCAAAATACTAAATGTTACGTATGTTACATATTGGTGGAAATGGTGACTGTGAAGTAAATACAGACTAGGTTTATATGTAATTGACTTATCTGGGTACCACAGGCGATACATCCAAAAGACCTCACTATTTTACTTAAAGTTTTGTGGCTCTCGAAGACATCACAGCAGAGGTAGCTGGACGTATGGAGTTTCGAAAATAGTCAACCGAAGCTGATCATGTGTAATAACTCAGTTCATGGCAAACAACTTCACTGTATGCTGAGATTTGCATATTTACTCTGCGTATATGATATCTTAGCGAAAAGCTGGTGTAGATTAACTAGTTTCTCTTAAAATTCCATTCCGTAATGCTAGAGAGTTGTTCTTGATCTTACTGCGCAATACGCTACTAGTGATTGGGAACTGCCCCATAAAACTTCATTGGATAGCGTGTTAAACTTCCCATTACCTACCACCCTGTGTTGCACATGGAGAGTTACTGTCTTCATAGACAAGTCAGGACATGACTACTGACAAACATTTCGGTTGATTTTAAATGTTGTTGGACAGTAAGTCTGTTTTGTATTGCTTAAAAAATTGTCCAGAATTTGTGTTGGTCTCGGTGATGTGCCGCGATGCTCACCTTTGTGTGTAATGAAATTTTTCATTGAGGTAACAATGTCATGTTGAGGAAAATCTTCCGTTTCTCACTTCATAAGAAATATTTCTAAACTACCCGTGTTCCTGTACTACAATTGTGAAGAACACGTAAGGATTTATATTTAGTCAGGTAAACATCTATTCGGTCACGTGGCTTTCAATTCACAAACCGAATCGTGATATGGTTGCATATCAGAATGACTACTAAACATAACTGGATAAGTGAGCACAGTAAGGAATGCTTGAATAGCTGCTAGAAGTGTATACTCGAAAGAAGTTACACATTTTTTTGAAGAGGTAGGGATTTGTATCAACTACAAATCTGTGTCAGGATGTATTGTTTTGAAATGTGACCTTATGCAGTGAGGAGTGAAATGTTCAAAGTTCTTATTTGTACAGATTTAGAGGTAATGTAGTCAAAGCGGTGCTTCAAGACAGGAAATAATTGATGCAAATAAATAGTGTGATTAAAATGGTTGTTCCGGCGTCACTGTGCAGTTGGGAAGCAGTCTCTAACCACACTTCAGGGTTGTCACATAGAATAGCAAGGAAAGCCTAAGGCATCGCAACAATTTGATCTTATGGGTCATTTAAGTGTTTAGATATTACTACTTGTCTTCTTTCAAATTACATGACATACATTAAACTGCGCTTGTCTTTTTTATTGTTAATGTGGTTTCATAAAATGTACAGTATATTATGAATTCAGCGATGGTGGAGTACTTGGTGCTATCTCAGATATATTCTTAATAACCATGTTTCTTAATTGTATATAACTGCACTGTTAGTAGTTTATGTACATTGCTGTATTTGTCTGGAATTTGTAATATCCAGGTAGAAGCTTATATAGTTTACTAGTGTGTGCTTAAGCTTGTAAGTTCCATATAACTTGCTACGTTTGAAAGGAGTGGATCCGTAGATTTTCAACGCTGTAGAATTGTTAATTCATAACTCAATAGAGTTGTTCCTCGTTGACCTAGAATTTTGACTTCTGTTCACTTGATCACATGTTCGTGTCGTTCATTTAGGTGATTTCAACCAAGTGGTATAATCAGTACTAATTAATAGTCTAGTACATCAGTCTGATCTAAACGAAGTATTCCAGTGAAATGTTGATGTAGTAAGGCGTTATGACAAAAATAATATACTTACATTCATTGAGTTCTTTTTTCACTTATATTACACAATTCAAATTAAGTAGGTGATCATAGAGGTTTGTAAGTCTCATTTGTCTGTGGATGTGCCATTATAAAGTAAAAAGAAGTATATCTAGTTGTTCTGCCATACACGAGTTGCGTAAATTTCACACATTCCACATAGCTGCAAGTTTTGTCAAAACTTAAATTCCAACCGTTTGCATAAGGATTCGAAATATGAATTGCCTTAAGTTGTTACGGCACGTCATCCAAGAAATGGTGTGGTTCATAGCTTCCTAGAGAAGTATATATGGCTGATAAGTTTGAGTTATTTGTTTAAAGCCTGTTAATATTTAGAATTTGTATTAATCAAATAATCCATACACTTTTTTGTAGGCGTCAACTTTTTCATGAAACCACTGCAACTGTCTAATGAAAATTTATCATCTGAATTCTCACAGTCGAACACGTTGGAGTCAGATTCAACAGATTGTTACGGTGTAAATGTTTACGAATTTCAAGAAGGAGAAGATCTCTATGGTCCTCGTACGCGTGGGTATCAGAAACCGAAACATATGTGGATGGCTAAAGACCAAGCCCTGACAAATATAAAGCCAAGTAGTTCTCCTCTGGCGGCGACAACGTTAGACTTTGAAATCGATTGTTGTACTAACCAAGAAAGTCTCAATCCTGTCGCAACTAATCATATGAGATGTCCATCACCAAATAATCTAATCTACAACATGGGATCACCGTCTACATCTGGCAGTGTCCAGGGACTTTCGGCAGCCTTATCATCTTGTACTAATACAAGCAGCAGTTTGTGTAGCCATAATTCCCCACTTATTGGTCTAAATGCATCTGAGGTTACTAGCACTTGTACAAGTCCAAATTTTATTGAAAATAAAACTGAAAAATGTGTACCGCTAACATGTGAAATAAACTCGAATGTTGTGAAAATCAAAGTGAGTGCCAAATCAGCTCCCAAGAAGCGAACCATGGGGAAAGTTTCTGAAAACAAATTTGAACTAGACCCTAGTAATACTTCCTCAGTACCGGATGCTAGTAACTCACAGTTGTCGAGTGAGAAGCAGTCTCATACTCGTAGAAATAGGCAACCTCAAGCTCGAAATAGTCGGAAATCTAAACGAAAGTCTGCTAGTGAATTTTCGCCGACTTCTTTCCATTCAGTCCCAAGCCCTAATGTACCAACAGACAGTTGTCTATCTGAATCTCCTACTTTGGCTGTGACAGAAACATCGAATCAAGAATATTCTGGCTACACATCTGTATATTCAAAGAGCTTGCCATCTTCATCGGCTTTTGTTTCTGGTGGACTAAAGATTCGGCTACGTAGGGATTCAGCTGTAGATTTCACTGTTGGCAAAGGAAAGCGCGCTAAAAGTAAGACAGTTCCAGCAACTTTTCGCATAGTGGAATCATGGTGTGACGCAGATGCTCCAGGAGGAGAATTTAGCAGACGAATTCGAGGAGCTACCAGTAGTTCTACTTCCCCTACTTTCAGTTTGGTGTCAGGCGGTCTGCGCGTGGGTGATATTGTTTGGGCAAAACTTGCTGGTTATCCTTATTGGCCATCACAGATTAGTGCTATTTGGGCTCGTACTGCTCATCAACTTTCTCAGGCCACTTTACTTAATACATCGCAATCTGTAGATAACGGTGCATCGTCTTTGGCTGTTCTTCAGACTCCTTCAGATCCAAGTTTAGCAACTGGTTACACTGCTCGTGTTGATTGGTTAGCTTGGGATCAGTGTTCATATTTGAGCTGTGCTAAGTTGTATCCTTTTAAGGAGTCCTTCGATAAACTTTATAATCCAAGAACCAGGGTAAAAGGTTACGCAGAAGCTGTACGTCTTGCTAAGCAAATTGTAAATGGGACTTATGTTCCCAATGAGAATACAGATTCGCAGTTATCCAATATGTCCCCACAAAATAAATCTCAGTCATCATTAACTGGACAGATTTCAGCACCTCCAAGTACCGACAGTCAATGGTCTTCTATGACAACTCTTTCTTCTTCCTTAGAAATCCCGACTTCAGGTACAACTAATCAAATTACTGACAAACAGAGTTTACCTTTACCGTCTGATTTACTACCAGATACTTTTATGTCATCTCAGTTAAATCCACTGCCTGCTTCATTATCAAATGTTTATTCTACTACGGATGGCGGAGGTATACTCAATTCAACAGATGCATTTTCAACTCATAGTAATAATAATAATTCATGTCCTAGAATAGATGATAGAAACATGGAACTACCTGAACTTGGAAATATTTCAATGTGGGCGCCTCTTCCTCAGTTAGATGTTTCAGGTCTTGGCGTTTTTCATGTACCAACATTTTCAGAAGATGAAGAGGATGACTTGGACACGTCTATTGTCAATCAGTTAAAATTGGATTTTGGTTCTTGTTTGCAATAATGATTTCTAAAGAAAGAAAGAAAGACAAATCGTGATATTTACAGAGAAATCATGCCCTATTTATTACTCACTTCCCATTGTTTTTGTTAATTCTTGTTGTTTTCTTCTCTCCTTGATATTTCTTTTCACGATTGTGATAGATATGTGTACTTTATTAATCTATAGGAGATATTCTGGTGCCTACTTTATACCTGTACTTATCTATTGAATTGGAAGTTTTTCCCGTTTTTCATGTTTTCATATACTCAAATCTTGATAGTGTTTTATAAAAATTGACCGTAAGTTCGTATATATATATATATATATATATATATATATGCAGACATATGTGCTGTCACTTTGCAATTTCGGAATATTTGTATATTTACTTAAGAAATCACAACTGCACGTGTTGTCAGCGTTACAATTTTTTTTTAAAAGTCCATTCAATACTAAACAGCAGACATATAAATCTCGCCGATTATCATCATCTGCCCACATATTCAGGTATATATTTATAATCTAAACAATTGTGCATTATTATTATTACTATCACTATTATTATTAGCTCTCCTTTCTGTGGGCATACACTTCGTCTGCGCATATGTGTGTTTATAGAGGGTTTCATTTCTACAGTAGTGTTTTCTACAAAAATTCACCTCTATTTAGAGACAATTGAATACACTGGTACACGCGATATTTTTTATTGCTCAGAATTTTTTTCCTTCTGTCTTTTCTGAGTAATACATGTGTAGTAAGTGAGTGAGTAGGGTAAGTGATTTAAGTCACCTTTCATCTGGTTCATCATTTTACACAGTGTTCGCCTGCCTCATTTTGATCGCTTTTGTCTTTTCTTGAAAAGGCAACTATAAATTATATCTATAATGCTCATTTTCTGTGTATAGAAATTTTTTTTCTCAAAGTAAGAAAAAGGGTACATGTATACTTTCTGTATTGTGTTATATAACTCTCTCTCTCTCTCTATTTCTCCCGTATTCCAGTTTGCTTTGAGATCATGATCAACATAATTTATCCATATTGTCTCCTTTTTTATTATTAAAGGCGCTCACTTGTTTCTTTTTTTGGATCTCAAACCTTGGTGATATATATGTATGTATATATCACAAAAGAAACAATTTATGGAGTATTCACTAACTTGTTCGTTGACTTTTGTTGTTGTCTTTTACATCCGACGGCATCATTTGGCACGGTGCTGCATATGATTAAATAGGATCTTTAGTTAACAGACCAGTCACTATGGGTTTCGATTAAGGCGGTGTGTGTGTGTGGGGGGGGGGTCGGAATGCTAGAGTAAATTACAGTGGAAAGTATTCTTGACAGTTAATTTTGAAGTGACATAGAACATTCTACGCTGTAAGACGACAGACTTTCATTAATCTGATATGTATTTTTCTTGATTAAATGAAAGATTTAGTTTTGCTCAGATATTTTTGTGAAAGTGAGGAGAATTGTGTTACGGTGATCCTTTATGAACTAGTCACTACTGTGGCGACTTAGTGTTAGATTGTGACCGCATTCTTGTCGATTTTTGGTGGTTTGGAGGTAGTATTTTCGCTTATGATGCATTCTTCGTCTACTGAAGATTACTTACTTTTACTTTACTTCGGTTATCTCCTACGGGAGGATGAGCAGGCTTCATGAACATCAAGAGAGTTCATGAAGTTTCATGGGAATTTGGTTCGAGTGATGTCCCCAGAATCGCTCGGCCTTTTGTTTGAGAGTGCAACTCTAGCCTTTACACAACCAAGTGTGACCTACAAGGCAGTAGGAGTGGAGTAGGGAGTCCACTATCCATTGGCAGCCGGTGACCGGAGTTCGGTTCATACGCCTTTTTGAATGGGGCCAGACATCCAGGACATCCAACAAGCCCTTTGTCCATACGTCTGCCGGTGAGCTCCAGTGAGCTTGATACGCCAGTCGTTGGAGGTTTGGAATCAGGGTTTAGCCATCTCCCCTAGACTGTCATCCAATGGACAGTCAACCCGGTGAAGAGCGCCGGGCATCCGCTTTCGCCCTCTCACTTTGGTGAAAAAACACCTCCGCCACGTGAAGGCAGTGAGTAGGACTTCCTCAGGAGAGGCTATGTAAGACGCCCGGTCATATGGGAGCATTTCAAGAGGTGTGCGGAGGGGTGGCCAACCCGCAGCGCAAGGCACCCACCCCCGACCATCCTGAGGCTTTGGAAGCACTGAAGATTAGCACAGCTTGATATGAAAGAAAATTACATGTGAACACCAGTGAACATTTCCTGCAGTTTCCGGGAGTCCTTTTTTCGTCATAATATTTTGTTGCAAAGCAATTTCATTTTGTTGTAACTAAGACTTATCGAAAGTGCATGCAACTCATTGTGTGTGTGTACGCACTGAGTTGTGTAGACTGACATTTCGATTGACAAAAGCTTCTGTTTCGTTATCACTCTTGAGATGGTCACTAGTAACTGTTCACGAGAAAGTGAGTTAAATAGGTTGCATAAATTGCTTAACAGGTACTTCTGTGCATTTTTAGCACACCATTCTTATATAGTTGTACTTAGCTTTACTTGGTATTTGCAAGCATTCATTTGTTCTTTTGTAATCGCACAAATGCTATACTATTTTTGACGGGTTCTCCTATGTTTGTGTGGAAGAAACGTAGAGTGAACAAAGAGTTTTATAGTAAGGGATTGATACAGTATTTTAACTGATGTGATTGTTTCTTTCTCAACACAAACTTGATGCAGTATGAACACTTGACGAATGTCACAAAACGAGACCGAATGTTGTAGGTGAAAAAGTGCAGTAGTAAAATAGTGACGTTATATTCCTAACAGGAAAGATCCCTAAATTCGAAGTGTTAGTCTACGTATCTCCACACTGGTTATTGTGGCTGGTGTGTTGTTGTATGAATAAAAGCTGAGGCATTGACCAACTTTCGAAGATGAATCAGGTAACTGTCTGAGGAAAAGGATCACGTTCGTATGAATGTCGATAAAGAGGATAGGTTTATGCACCACTAATTTAGTTTAGATCCCTTGTATAGGACAGGTTTAGAGTCATTGTATCCTTCTCGTCTAGGTAAACGGCTGGTATTCACCCACTCGTTGGTATTCACCATAAATTAATATTCTCCCTCTACTTGTCCTTCAGTAAAAGTGTCGGTTTTGTGTAGACTATGAACGCCTGGTCATACCAGGATAGAATTCAAACAATCTGTGAGTGTCGTCCATAACTAGATTCTAATCTAACAGGCTTATGCGTCAACTCAATACGCGTATGTTTGTAGGACCATACGTGCACGATAGCTGTATAAGGTTCAACTAAGTGACTACCGTCCACTTGTTCTTCTGGATTTCTCAAAACGTCAGCAGATATTTTGAGGGAATCGTAGTTAAAGTGAAAGACGAGTGAATATGTTTACGTAGTGGAGTGAATATATTTAAATATGGTTGCAGTGTTACTCTCCTCGTTTACAAATACGCTCCTTCAGTATGTTTATTACTCAGCGGGAAGTAACCAACTGTAGTACTAGGTGGCGTCGTTTTGAATATAAGAGGAGACATCAGTCACTTGATGGTTGCAGCTTCGCTGAATAGTGCCAACAAGCACGAAGCCAAGGTCTAGGACTTTTGTTGATTACTCTCAGCCATCTTACATATAGTTCGAGTTTTTTTGCATTCGCTTGTTGACAACCAAAGTAACCTTCAGCTTACGCACTGATGGGAAAGGTAGTTGTACAAGTTTTCTACCAATAGTTCACAGAATTGTCTCACTCCATTGAAGCTCACGCATTTTCTTCAGCTATAAACTCGGTCGGCTTACGTTAGTCTCTTTTCTTTAGGTTATCTCTATCTTGTCCGCTTCACCTAAAGTTGTGCCATTTAAGACGAGATTTCTAGTTACTGCTTAAGAATATAGCGTACTGGATGAGGGTTAGAACTCAGCCACCAAAAACAATGCGTCTGTGGTTCAGTAGCAGAGTGCCCGTCAGCCACCCACGTGGTCCGGGGTTCCATTCCCCGCTGATGCACGCCTATACCTCGCTAAGCCGATGGTAAGGCCAATAGGGAGGAGTGGTTGGGCATGAGGTTTAGCAACCTCACCTTGCAAAAATAAAACCAGTGCTGCCGAGACTTCACAGATAAAGCGTGAAACCACTCGAGGCGTAAAGAGAATAAGAGAAGATACTTTTCAAATCCCCAATTATGGGTCGAACACTATGTATGGAAGCAAGATATAAACCACAAGCTAGTGAGCCCTACTGTGTGCTGGTGAAATGATACCACATTTACATTCAATGCACTTGCTAGGGCGAGCAAATGAACAATGTTAAGTTTGACGTATGAGAAGTTAGAAAACCTCTATAAGCTCAACTTCAGTAGTTGGCGTATATTCACATTAGGACAAGATCTTATGTATAATATCTTATCAGTTTTCTTTCTTGATTTGATAAAGGCGTTCAACCTTTGATCCAAGGGATTTTTGTCAGCCCTCCATCAAATTCCTGTTACTATATAGAAATGCTTTTACTTTGATTAGGATCACAACTGAGTAACACTCTTTTCTTTGATGACAGTGTCTTCTATTGTTTTTACTGATACATAACTTCCACTTCATAAGCGTGCAAGCTCTCTGTTTTCATTCCTAAAAATGGTTATCTGTGTAATCTATGGAACATGTAATGTTACTATGTTCAGTAGTATGTATTCCCTAAGAGCTGAGTAACTTCTTTCAATGTAGAATGCTTTGGAGTAACGAAATTAAATCAAACAACCATACGGTCAAGTGGTGGTAAGATTTCCACCCCTAGAGATTCCATTTTTTCAGTCACTGAATGGATGTCGAGATTTTAACCACTAGTGTGCATGTTTTCCTGTTATTTACCTGCTAATAAGTTTCAAAATTGCGTTCCGAGTAGAACACAGGGCCTTACTTAAGCTTGAGCTTTGAAGTTTCGGTAGCAGCGGTTTTAATTTTTTTACGAAGTGGGTTTGCTAGACTCTTATCGAACCTCCTCTCTTTGCCGGCTAAACGAGATTTAGGAGCGCGTCGGTTGTGTGCCGGACCCCGGACCAATAATAATCTAAGAAACAATGGAAGAACGAATATATTTTCAGGATATAATGAGAACTGGTTTTATTTTTTATTACGTACATCCCAGAACAAAATCAAATTATCAGTAACAAAATTTCTGAACGTACTTTTTTTTTTAAAATGACTTCAAGCTACATATAGAAAGTATAGGCAACATAATTCCTAAAAATGATGTTAGCAGACGAATTATTCAGTGTTAAAAGACTCACAATATATAGAATAATTAGATGACCGGAAGGTACACTTCAGATTTTGCTTGGAAACAAGGATGTGCTAGAAACAGATTACAAGATAGAACAACAGAGTGAATTTATGCATTATATGATGAAAGTTCAAGAGGGTGGGGCTGAATAGTGTAGCAAAATTTTAAGAGAGACAGTACAACTTCTTATTTTAATTTTATTATTGCTTGATTCCATAGAATATTTTTGGTACAAGCATGAAATTTTCAGCATGAGATATCGGTAACTCAAGTTTAGCAGGCCGACCATAGATATCAGGTGTGCGTCGGCGGGGGATCGAACCTCAAACCATGTGCATGGCGAGAGTCCTAACCGCTGTGCCACCGACGCACTAAGTAGACTTAGAAACGGTGTAGTAAGTTCAACTCAGTGAGTGAAAATCAGAAGTGAGATGTTATATGACACAACAAAACGGTTACTAGGCTAGTGAGAGGTTAGTCACACTCTGTTTTTGTATGCATAGGTTGGGTCGAAATCTTATGATGGCAACGGCTTCTGCGAAAAGCGAAGTGACCATGATCGGTAAAATTTATTTTGATAAAGTCTCACAGCGTGTTATACAGTAGTATTTACTGATGACGTTTCAAGCACAATTTATTACTGCTCATACTCCCAATATCAAGTTACTCACACAACTCTCTAACTTCGTTTATATAATTCCATTATTTTTCATCGCTTGATTTGATTGGTAGTAGGATTCTCCATATTTCCGGTATGAGTGATGAGTCATTCCTATTGCATGTGTTGGGTGTAGACTCGATGAACAAAGTTTCAGTATAATCAACCTCTCTCTCCACCTACCTAGATTACTTTTTAGAATTTTAACCCTCTCCCATCCTATTGTGGGGTTGTGTGTTAATGCATGCAGTTCGATGTAGTG